AGAGGAAGCACAATGGGGAGTTCTTGAGGGCTCGTGAAGGCAGGGGTGTTTCTGTGCTTTGCTTAGCTCATCCTTCACGAAGACGTTTCTAAATTGAATGTGCTTCACAATCAGCCTGTCCCTGTAGTGTCTGTTGGGTAGGGGGGTGCTGTGTGTCCATCCAAGCCCCTTGTCACTCCTGACTTCAAAAAGTTTCAGATCTTTGTGAGTTTTAGGTGTACGATAATGGTACTTGTCTGAGACACTTGAGGTTGATGGAACAAACTGGTTCTGTTGTGTGTTTGGGATCAGAAGACAGTGTCTCAGGACTTCTGGGGGCTCTGAAAGCTTTTGGGATTTTAGCATCTGTTTTGGCTACACAAAAGGCCTACACTACTTTCTTCCTATGGGTGGGTCTTGCTTCAGTTCAGTAACAGTGAAATTCATCTCTGGCTTAGTTTACTTGCCTGGTGATGCTGTCAGGCCTAAAAGAAGGAGCACGATCAATCTTTTGAAGGGAAAGTGTCCCAAAGTTTGTCAGGATTTCTGTGCATGTACACTTGAAAAGCTAAGCAATGCTATTTAAGACCTTTGGCCAGGAAGCCATGAATCTCTGAAGATAAGTGAGGAAACGTGCTGGAGTTGCAGTGAACATTCACAGCTGCCAGAGACCTGTCGTGCAATCGTCATCTGGAATCTGACTGTTGTCTTCAGCGTCCTTAAGTATAAAGTCTTTTCCAGACTGATAAATCAAAGATAAAATTTGAGCATCTTGCTTGCTAAAAGTTCACCCCGAGGAGAGTATGCATGCAGTTACAGGAGCCGTGGAGGTAGGGGACAGGGAGAGGCAAGAGATGGAGGGTGCCTGACTCTGCTTGCTGTGGTCGTTAACGTAGTCATTGGCTGATACTGATAGGCTTTTTTTTTTTTCTTTTTGGATCTACTGGTGTCCCATATGTACCCATACCTTTGTTTGAGGACTACATTATTTTGTTCTGGTTCTACTAGGCAAAGTGGACTGTTGTGTCACATAATAGTGGTTTTATTTTTTCCCCCGTTTGCATCTCCAAAACAGGAAAATAAAAAGGATGAGTTTTGTTTGTGTTCTGGGGTAGACATAGTGATGGCAATATATTGTTTTTTTCCCCTGTACTTTTTAATTGCCACAGCTTGTCTAATGTTATTTTAAATCAAATACACTGTTAAAGGAAATGCTCTTGAGATTCTCTTCCATTAAGCTAGCCTAAATCACTTCCTTGCAAGTCTCTCCATTTTCAAGGCCAAAGGCTTCTTTAGTTTTGGTGGCTTGTCTGTGTGTTGTTTTTTTTTTTTTTTTTTAAGAATTGGTCTCCCTGTGTTCCTTATGGACTACAGGGAAATTATCTGCTATAATGCTTTTTAATTTCTCTTAGGCTTGAATCTTTCACGTGTAGAAATATGAGACTGGGTTCCAAGACCTTGTATTTTAGGAAAGTTGATTAAAACAAATAAATATTTGCTAATCTAGGAAAAGTTTTCTTTAAAGAAAAAAAAGCCCAACAGCAACAAAAATCAAGCAAACAACAAAAGACAGTCCCCCACCTTAATAACTTACTCTTCTCAGCAGATGAAGGGGCACGGATAGTTTACAACTGTGTAACCATCTGGTATTCTATGTTGTGTTACATACTCCCCAACAACTGTTAGTTATTTCAAAATAATTAATCTTGCAGTATATCGATACAGATATTACCACATTTTGTCTCCTCACACAGAAACTGACTCTGTGCTGACTGAATGATAACTGAGTTGGGTTCTGTCTAAAATTGTGGGAATGCTCTGGATGGCTTTTTTGTTAGTGTTAAAAGCTGAGATTTCTCGTACTCCAGGTAAATGAAAGCTTCAGCAAGTTCTGGCAAAATCTATGCTCTCTCCTGCTTTATCAGACACTGCTGCAGTGGTTAGTGTGGTTGTTAGGGGTTTTAAGAGGCTGACAGATGTCTGTCAGTTCTGTTAAAAAAAGAATAAAGTTTTGCTTTGTTAAAGGAGAATAAAGATGCAGCTTAAAAATCTTCTACTGCCTTGGATTTAGGGAGCAATCTGCCAAAGATTCCAAATTCTTTCATCATTGGAGTGCCCATAGCAGTCAGATCTCATCAGCACAAATATTAAACAAACCAGGTTAGAAGAGCTTTTACTTTCTTCAGGGTACACAGTTATGACTCAGTGCCTCTGAGTAGTGCGTAGGATGTTCTAACCACATTCCCTAGGCTGTGTTTTTGTTTACCCAGAGGTCTGTCATATTTGTTTCTCTGAAGTATTTTTTTGCATTGTCTGATTTCCTCTAGGTCACTCCACTCTATGAGGAGTGGACCACGATTGATTGGTACCAGTTTTTCTGCTTATGGGAGAAGCTGCCCGCCTCAATGAAACGTGTGGCTGAGCTGGTGGGGATTGAAGAAGGCTTTCTGGCTCGCTCTGTAAAGGGCAAGATCTTAGCTAAAACAGAGAAGCAGCACAGGCAAATGGCCGTCCACAAAAGGTAGCCATGCGTGGGTGTGAATGGGCAAAGACTAGAGGCTGTAACGTGCGGGGCGGACAGGCCCTGTGTTCAGGAGCTGTCTGTCTCTCTTGCTGAGGGAGCTGGTAGCTCAGAGAACCTGGCCCTGGTGTGCTCTGACCTGAGAACACTGCTGGCACAAGATGCTCGTGCTGGTGTTTTTGGTGGTTTTGGAAGCTACCTTCTCTGTTGGTTTTGTGTGCTCTGCTCTCATACCGTTCTGTCCCGTGGTATCACAGTGCATTTTGCCACGTACACTAACACGCCCTGGGTGATGATTTCATTGCCATGTGTCCTTTTTACAGGTTTTTCACCAGTCTCGCCCTCCTGGATTTAATCAGTGAGGTTCCCTTATGGGATATGACCAAGAAATATGGCTGTAGTCGTGGCCAACTTCAATCCTTGCAACAATCTGCTGCCACTTATGCAGGTGAGTTGGCTGGGCAAAACACCGCAGGAGCCTGAGGCTAGTCTGTTTTCGTTCATTCCAGATACGGGGGTAAGGTAGCCACAGCGTGGTACCGACAACAATCAGTCTTGTAAAACCACTTCCAGCATTATAGATTAAGCTGTGGCTGCCCCTGCTTTGAGATGGAACCACAGCGTGCGCTGTGGGAAGGGGGCCAGCTGAGTGGAATCAAGCAGTGCTGTAGCATGCTGAGGTCTCTGGAAATCATCTCTGCGCTGCACAGGAATGTAGTTTGTTCAATACCAAGTGTGAAAATTAAGTACAAGTCCATTCTGAAGCTTTGATCTATGAGGAATTTTTTTCCTTTCAGCAGGGGGAAGGTCTGGGGTCTCTAAGACTTAGCATGACTTTCTCCTGGTTGCAAAGTTAGTTGGCCAGAAAATCTAAGTTTATGGTTTTCAAAACAGAGTGAGTAGTTTCTGGGTCATTTATCACCAGATAACAAGAGGTCTGATAGCTGCCACCTTTAACTTAGCTTCCTGAAGAGGGCTGTGTAGGAGCAGAAGTAACAGCCCACCGTATGACTGAGGTATTTTTTATCCTATTACCAAAGTCCCCCATTACTCCGTAAGTGGATCTTCAATTTTTGAGGCAGTTTTAGCTCAACTCGCGACACTCTACGTGTGGGTTGCACCATGAGTCAAAGCTCCAAAATGAAAAGGTCACGACAACTGATGCAGAGTAGTTTAAATTAATTCTGGTAGTATAAATAATTTTTTTTTTGTAGCGGTTTCGTAATTCTCTATTCCCAGGGTTAATAATTTTCAAAAAAGTAATTTGGGAAGTAAAATGAGCTGTTGACATGACACAGTTAAGAGATATGATGAGAGTTGTATTCTGTAATCACTGTAAAAATAGTGAGGGATGCCGTGTCTTTCGGTTATTTTCCTGTCCTGTAGGTGCAATCTGTGAGTAGGACGCTGCCTTGTCCCTGCTGTTTTCCTCCTCCCGCGGGTGGGGGACTGCAGTTGGTACCCTTTATCGTAGACTTTGCTACCTCATATGATGCTCTTAGCACAGTAACTGAAGTCCTGCAGGCCGAGCTCTGCTTCTATGGACATCGGTGCTGACTTGCCTCAAAGAGCTGGGGCTTCTCCGATTGCTTCTGGCTGCCGCTTTTTCTGTCTTCTTTTCCACGGCGTGTTTGCTTCACAGGAATCCTGTCACAGGACACTCACGTGCTTCACCCTTTTCAAGAGTAGCGTCTTTCTGTGTCACTCAGAATTTCCACCTCACTGATAAACTACTTAATTCTAGATTAATTAGATGTTGTGAGACCAGCTCCTAGTCACGGTTATAATAAACCTGAGTTAGTTTCTGTAAGTAATGGGGAGGTGGGAAATGTGAAGTGGATGTCGGCTCAGGTGGGAGCGGGGGAATGAATCCAGCTTGGCAGGACTGGGGCTGGAGATAAGACATTGTTGTGACTTCTGTGTTCCAGGCATGGTAACGGTTTTCTGTAATCGCCTGGGCTGGCACAACATGGAGCTGTTGCTCTCTCAGTTCCAGAGCCGCCTCACTTTTGGGGTTCATCGGGAGCTTTGTGACCTGGTACGAGTGTCTCTGCTGAATGCACAGCGTGCGAGGACACTTTACAACGCTGGCTTTGTCACAGTGGCTGATCTTGCTAAAGCCAGTCCTGATGGTGTGGCAACTGCTCTGAAGAATGCGGTACCGTTCAAGAGGTGAGAAATCAGTAAGCAAAGGAGTTTGTAAGGTGAAGGGTTACAAGATGAAACCGGTAATTAAATGTGGCAATCTCTTGGGACTTGGTGCCAAACATTGGTTAGAAATAACTTGCAGTTCTCTGCGATCACAGTCATTCCATGATTATTTTGGAAGGAACAGAAGCGTCTTTTATTTGCAGCAGAAGAGCGTGAGACCTACATTTTCTTCTTGTTCCTCTTTTCACTGCGCTGCTTGGTTCTGGGTGAATTGATGCTTTCTGGAGACATTTTGCTACCTCTAAAAGGCAGCTCCACTATGTGATCAAATGAGGTGCTGCTTTATTACTGTATATCATTTGGGATTCTCTTGGGATTTTCGTGTTAGTGCAATGACAAGCTTCCTTGATCAAGTGCACGTTGGACTGTGCTGTGACACCTGTCTGGTTCATAGTCCTGAAGTTGCCTTTCTTTGGAAAACAGTAAATGGAGGAGGGTTGATTCAGGCCTGGATCTTGCCCTGGTAGGGAGTTGGGACTCATCTGGGGTACATGTTTGGACACAGAAAAGCTGGGAATGCTTCTGGGGTATGCAGCTAGTAATAGCTTTCATCGAGATCACTTCACATACGGAAAAATGAAATAGTTGTTTCCTATTATGTGCATTGTATTTTGGATATAGTGCTTCTGTGAAGCTGGGAAGCAGAGTGGAGTGGAAGTTGAGCAGAATAGTGCCAGCTCCTTGTGTTGTTTGTTCTTTTCTGCATGAATACTTACATCTGTCTGTTACCCTTCCTGTAGTGTTCGTAGGGCTGTGGATGAAGATGAAGAATCAGCAGAGGAACGTCGGGCTGTGCGCAGCATCTGGATGGCTGGAATGAAAGGCTTAACCGAAAGTGAAGCAGCTTCCCTTATTGTGGAGGAAGCCAGGGTACTTCTCCGGCAGGATTTGGCACTGATGGGAGTGCAGTGGAACCCAGAGTCTTTTCTCGAGTCTGATACGTCCTCTGTGATCAGCAGTGAGTCAGAACTGGAAGACAGACTACATAGATCAAATGGAGAGCAGTCTTCTGAGTCTTCCATGGTGTTAAACAAAAAAGGGTGCAGAGTTCAGCATTGTAATGGCCTTGGTTCTCAGACTGGAAGCTTATCTAATATTAAAAAGAGATGTAAAAGGCGACTGAGCGGTAGTACAGAAAACTCCAGACTGGGGAGTGAAGTCTCAGCTGGGAGACAGGCTCGAGCAGAGCAAGGCAACAATGATATTGTGCACAGTGCTAGAAAACGGCCAAATATGTGCAGAGGTAATGAAAACGTAGAAGAAATTTCTCTGGTCAAAACCAAGATGGAGTCCAGGAAAGTAATTCCAGAACTCCCTACTGAACGAGGAAAAACGCCAACACTGAGAACAAAGTCTTCAGCCTCTAGATTGATAAAAAGTACGGACACGCATTTAAACCGGAGCAGGAACAAAAATCCTGTGTCAAAACTGCAGAGGTCACTCCTTGAAGAATCAAATATGCTTAGCATAGACCTACAAAAGCCGCCTGCTTTCCACTCCCCCATCTCTAAAGACAACTTTTTTTCAGACCAATATAACAAGGGTTTTATGGAAACAGGGTCTGTAACTCATAAAGTCTTGAATTTTGCACAGATGGGGGAAATTAATCTTGAGAGGAAAGATAAAAGGGAAGGATCATTTACAGAGCCTTCCACCACTAATGAGGGCATGCCTAAGGGGAGAGCCTGTTTGCAGGCACCTCCTACGTTGCAGGGAACTCCACACGTCAACCTGGAGACACGTAATGTTGTAGAGAGTCTGGTGATGCCTGCTGGTGCTAGGACACAGAGACAGGAAACTACTGATGGTAAGCAGAATAAAATGAATAACGTGCAAACAGATGGAAGCTGTGCCGAGGTGATGCTTGGTAAGCAGCAGACGGCTTTAGATGCCGATCGCCGTAACGTAACTGCTAGCCGCTCTGGAAATGGACGTGTCTGTAACAGCAGCAGGATACGGAAACCTGCGCATCTTTGTCCTGGTGAGGATAAATCCTGCGATGTCCAGATTCAGAATGGTGGCGAAAATGAGAGTGAAAAGCCCAATGGAATATTGTTAGAAGCTGGAGCACTGCAGAAAGCCAACAGTCATCCTAAGGGTTTTCTGAAAGACTCTCTAGGACAATCCAGAGGTGTTTGCGATGCAGCTGATGTTCAGAACGGTCCAACCTCTGTTCTGTTTTCTGACTCTAGAGACTTTGAAGACAGCTTCCAGCTGGATACTCAAACAGAGATGATGATAAAACAGGAGGGAGCAGCTGGAATCACAGGACATCAGGGAATACAAGGTTCAGAGCTGGCGGTGATACCACAGCAGGAAATCTCCAAGAGACTAAGCACTTCACAGACTGAGAATGCTACTCATGAAAGGCTGGCTGCAACAGTTAGGAAATTGGGCTTATCAAGCCTTATCACAACAAATAGCATTACAAAAAACACAGCTCAGCACTGCAGTAGTAAAGTTTTGGAGTCTGGAGACCTTAATTTACAGCCCATAATGAAGGAAATAGAATCTGCACCTTGCATTAAAGAAAGTGATTTCTCAGTGACCGACTCCCAGTTACACAGTTTTCTACAACATTACCAGACTCAAAATTCAGTGAAAGAGGAGGCTGCACCTAAAGACCTTAATAAAGCAACCTCTCCTGTTGGTAGGGAGCACATTGTACAAGTAGAATGCCACCCTGTCCCTGAAACAAGCCTAAATATGAGTGATAGCTTGCTGTTTGATGATAGCTTCAGCAATGTCAGTGACCTTTCAGCTGCTCACGTTATGGAAGCTGACAGAAAGGAACCTGTGGAGAAGCAAGGGGCTTTGCTTTCTCCAGAAGGTCTTTTGCAGAACCTAAGGCCTGTTCAGAACAGGCTTGATGTCACTGGCAATCAGAAAGAGCGTGAAGACCCTGCGCAGTGTAATAATATGTCTCTAGCATTCTCTGATCTAATAGCTGAAGTTTTAGATCATGCAAACTCCCCATCTTTTCTGGAAGATCTTCCTTCTACGCTTCACAGTCAGTCAGGATTAAGGAACCCCGTGATTTGTAACAATGACCCCAGACCAAAGGGCTTAGCAGGGTTTCAAGGTGAAAAGCTCCAGAGAAGCCAGCAAGCTTTAGACAAGAAAACCCATCCAGCGATGTGGACTGACCACTCCTTTGAGCTAAGCCCAGGATTGCAGGATGTATTGGACAAATGGCCTAGTCCCTCGGGCACTGAGCCAGTCTCAGTAAGGTCCTGTTTGAAAGACAAGTTAGTTGCTCCTATTGCTAATCGAGAGCCAGATGCAGTTTTTGAATCCGACCGTTGTCAGCCAGAGCCTTTGCCCACTTGCCAGGATTTAAAAAGCTGTTTCAAGGTTAAAGAAAACAAACCAGAAGAGTTGGATCTTCAGAAAACAGACGGCCTAACACTTCCGCTCCAGGGGAGCAGCAGAACATCCTGCCCTCCACCAGATAGTAATAACACGTTTATTCCTCCAACACCCCCTGAAGAGCTTTTTCCAAAGAGCTCTGCTTCTCTCTCTGTGAAGTCTGCAAGGAGGAGCCCAGCTGCCTGCAGGAATGAAGGGCTGCTGACTCGGCCGCAGCAGAATAACGAGGGTGATGCAGAGCAGCAGGCCAAACCACTCCGGGTCAATCTTGGCACCGTAGACACAGCTGAGACCGATGAGAGGAAGGATGATTGCACTATAGAGCAAGGCTTTTCGCTGCAGCTATCTCAGGATGTCTTTCCACCTGTTCCCTCAAGTGCTGAAGGTTTCACTATTATTGATGTAGCAAGCGACAAAGTACTTTTCCAGACTTTTGTGGCAGAGTGGAAGGAGAAAAGCAGATTCTCCATCGCGGTGGCGTGCGAAAGAACAAAATGTCTTTCATCTCCCAGATCAACGATTGGTGGCAAATTCAAAAAAGGTCAGTCCTGTGATCCAGCATGTTACTTTGTCAACAGCAGGGTGGCATCTTCAGCTTAAAGCGGGAGCGGAAAAGGAAAGGGTTTGCAAACAAGGAGGAAAATCACTGATATTAATTACGTCTTGTCAGTTGCAGTAAAGCAAAGGAGCTGAGTGCTAGTAGAGAATGGAGAATTGGTGTCAAGCGTTTCATAGGTGGGTCTTTGGTGATGGGAACAAAGTGCTAGCAGCTTGTTTTGTATTTGAGAGCACCTAAATATTCTTAACGTCTCATTGTTTATCTGATTTTGAAATGGATCTGAGTTGTGCAGTCCCTGTATCATGGATCTTTCCTTGTCTAAGTGTTAGTGTATTTTAAAATGAAGGATATATTTAAGAGTAAACTACAACGTCTCCACTGAGCAGTGTTACTTGCAGTTACTTGCCTCTGAACCAAGAACTAAGCATTTTCAAGTCTGCAAAAAGTAAACTTAGTTCAATATATGTACAAAATTCAGACCAGTCTATGGATTGTTGCAATATTGTTTCATATTTTTCCCACAGAAGTATTCACATGCTGCACTTTGCTGCTGTGTACACATACTCTTCCTTTAAAATAACACGATTAAGCGGAATTAGATTCTTTGCTGTCATGTTGCCATAACAAAATTTCTTAACTATCAAAATCTATTTTTGACAGAGGAATGTGAAATGTTTTTCAGAGTGAAAGAGGGAATAGATTTCTGTCTCAGCTCTTGAAGAGATTGCTAGGAAAGGCCAGAGTTTTGCAGGGATGCTCTATGGGTGCTTGTTTCTGTTTGGAGAAAGTTTTGCTGTTCTGAACATGTTTTGGGGGTATTTTTTGTTGTTTGTGTTTCTTTTGAAAAAAAAACCCAAACAGATTTTTCTCCCTATAGATAAAATGAAGGTACATGTTCACTTTTGAGAAATTTAGGCTTGACTATATGGATTTACATTTTCAGGATCCAAACTCTTCTGTATTTGCGTATGCCATTTTAGGATTGTAACTTAAAAACTGTTTCTTTAGTAAGTTCTCCCCAGTGGATGCAAGTTAAAGATGACGGATTTCCTGTCCAAGGCTGTGAAGACATCTTGGTAGTTGGACTGGCAGTATGTTGGGGTGGAAAAGATGCCTACTATATCTCTTTGCAGCAGATACAAGACCAGACTGGTAAGTGAGCTCACAGGCTCACTGCTGTCTTCCTTCTTGGGAGCATTTTGAATGTCTCAAACCCAGCTCAGTTGTGTGATGGAGTTACTTAGCCATTCAGCAGTCTTAAGTGTCAAACACCCTTAACACAATGCTGTGCATACATCTCTGCTGCTGTATAACAAGGACAGGTAATTGGCCTAAGTGCTGGGCTGCTAAGCATGACTAGAATCATAGAATCACAGAATGGTTTGGGTTGGAAGGGACCTTAAAGACC